AAGAGCGGTGAGAAAGGGCCTACATCCATAAATGCAGTTCATTTATGCATAGGTAGATACAAGGATGCACATATACACATTTTCAAGGACTATTTTAGATATCTAGACAATTTCTTCCTAATAAAGTCATTTGTGAAAGGGTACTACAGCTCTCATTGACATCAGTAAGGTAGCATTACCTGTTTATTCTCTGCTGCATCTTACAGAAGAGTAAACTGGTGGGAGTATATATTTTATATATATATATATATATATATATATATATATATAATATGTATATATATATATTGACTTGTTACATGAAGATGTTAAAATTGGTTTTTAAAGGTGATGTAAATAGTGATTTCCTTAATGAAAAATACATATTTTGTATTGTTCTAATACAACAGAAAAGCCTTTTAATCTCTTTGGTTTCTGTATATTCCATGTATAAGTGTAAATATAATCGGACAGGTTTAAAAATTGTGCATGTGTGTATACAGTTGCAAGTCTGGACAAATGTATAGAGTAAGCCTTTTATTTAAGTTGTGATTACCTGCTGCATGAAAAGTGCATGGGGGACCCTGTGCATCTGTGCATTTGGCAAAATGTCTTAAGCAGTCAGATCAGATATTCATCCCAACATAACAGTATTCCATTTCTGGACATGACTTCCGTGGTTTAAGCTTTGTGAAGGAATGTGCTTTGAATCCAAGGGTCTTAAAACTTTTTAAATCAAGTCAACCACTTTTCAACATAAAGAATTCACACAACTACTTTCATGAATTTTTTAATCCCATTGGAAGCATAATAATATACTAGGAGTATTCCAGTGTACTGGAATGCAGGCACATTACCATTCATGGTATGAATTCTGGGGTTTACACAACCAATTTTGATGCGATATGCTCGGTAATATAATTTGTCATTTTTATTAGAAATTTAATTTCTTCATGTGATGTCATGAAACTGTACATACTGCAGTGTGAATTTTTTGTTGTGTTTTTTAATCTTTAGTGTTTACTTCCTGCAGTGAATTTGAATAAATGAGGAAAAAAAATGCATTGTCTCTGATTTGAAATGATTGTTATTTTCTGGGCTGTCTCCGATTTTCAGGTTTTCCATAAACATAAAAGTCTCTGGTCATGAAAATAACAAGTCTTCAAGAATGCTTTGCCCTTCTCAGAAAAATAAAGGGGAACAAAAAGAAGGTGGCCTGCGAGTTAGTATATCTAGAGACAGGGCAATTGAAGCATAGCTCAGAAAGACAATCAGCCTATATAGCCTGTTCTACCCAGCGTTGATTCTATAGCTTGGTGTGTAACTGGATGGTCATCATGGGTTTTTGAAGTGGGAAAAAGTTTGTACAGTGTTCAAAAATAAAGTTGATTTGATATAAACTTGTTTTAAGATAGGATTTTATTAGGTTTTTATCCAAGTTTCAACGGGTGCTAATTTTTGTGTTTTTGTTGTTTTTTTTGTTGTTGGTTTTTTTGCGGTACGCGGGCCTCTCTCACTGTTGCGGCCTCTCCCGTTGCGGAGCACAGGCTCCGGACGCGCAGGCTCAGCGGCCATGGCTCACGGGCCCAGCCGCTCCGCGGCATGTGGGATCCTCCGGGACCGGGGCACGAACTCGTGTCCCCTGCATCGGCAGGTGGACTCTCAACCGCTGCGCCGCAAGGGAAGCCCTACATTTATTTTTTTTTAAAGTCTCCAGACGTTTTACAAAAATGAATGTGTGCGCTTGCACACATGTGTATGTGTACTATATGTGTATAGGTAATGAGTAGTTGAGAATGATAAGCAATGTCCATATGTAATAAGTAATAGAGACCAATTTATTTAGAAAAAGGAAAAAGAACTGTACTTGTGAACTGATGGTCTGGGGTGGGGAGGGCATTATTTTTACAAATATATTAATAATTTAAGAGGAAGGCATTTTCCCAAAGATCAGTTTCTGTTTTCTGACACTAAAATAGGCCTATTAAAATCTGAAAATTTTGCACCTTCTCCCTAACAAGTTTATAAACACTGTCTAAAAAAACATCCAGGTAATAGAAATACATACAGCTGTTCTACATGATTAAAATGTTGAAAAGTTATGCTTTGCCGTCTGTACAGACACTGTCATCGGAACCGGAGATGCACAGCCACGTTTTGTTTTGTTTATTGATTTATACGGTAAAAAGGCATAACGAGCTCATCATGTAATAAATTGAGGGATTTTTTAAGAAGAAAACCACCCCAGTTAGAAACTCCTCTTGACTATAAGTTAGCGCCAATGACTTTAATATGGAAAGTCTTTCATAATCTAATCAGATGATGATCACCCACTCTGTGCCAAGTTCAAGCTTCTTAATGTGGAAAACTCCTTTACAAAGAAATAATTTTGAACAAGTTTTCTCCTACCACTACTATCACTATAAACTGTGACCTATTTGTTTACAGAAAATAGATTTTAAATGTTAAGCATGACATTTTTCATTTATTCCATCAAACTTAAGAAGTATCTGAAGCTAGCACCTTGTAAGGGTTGGTGGAGGAATCTGTTGGCACCTTTTAGCGTTAATTTACTGCTA